AAAATTCTGCTATATACATTCAAAGCCATCCATAACCTAGCTCCACCGTACCTCTCAGACCTCCTTCATCCTTCAACCTCCACCCGTTCCCTCAGGTCCTCCTCCTCCATCCACCTCTCTGTCCCACCTTTCCGTCTGGTCACTCTGGGGAGCAGGGCCTTCAGCCGCTCTGCTCCCCAGCTCTGGAACTCACTTCCTCCTGACCTCCGTAACATTGATTCCCTCACTCTCTTTAAAACCAGACTCAAAACTCACCTGTTTCGTCTAGCATTCCAGTAGTTACTCTCTTTGCTCCAATCTGTCTGTTTGTTTTATGCTGTTTTATCTTTTATTGTTTGTATTTTATCTCTGTAAAGTGTCCTTGAGTGTTCAGAAAGGCGCTGTTGAAATAAAATGTATTATTATTATTATTATAACAGTCACCTTTGATGCTGATATTTATTAAAGAAGCTTTGTTATGTTCCTGTAGTCCGTACGCGTCGTAATTCTCAGACCTCAAAGTGATAACGACTGAAAGAGCCAACAGGGGAATGCACGCGCTGAATGAGTGATCAGTGAATTTATCACAGCTAAATGTAGTTGCTTTAGTCCTTCACACCACGCTTCCATTAAATGTCCCTCTGATTAGTGAGGCGCACACAGCAAACCTAATTATCCAACGCCACAGCCAAACCCTCTACATGATTACCAACAGTGTGCTTCTTATACTGCAATTAGGTTCCTCGTAATTGCAAAAAGACTATGATTAAAGAGGAAATGCTTGCTTTGTGTGTTTGTTTGTGTTTGTAAATGTACAAGAGCCTAGGTAGATGCATTAGCTGATAGGAAACTAAACATGTCCTGTAGTATTCCTGCAAAGCACCTCCGTTTTTCCTCTTTCTGGGTTAACTGGGTAGATTTTGAGGACATTTTAAATTGTTGGATCTAATTCACTGTCTGAAGACTCAACAGGACAGAGACATCCACCTGTTTTTAGAGGCACATTTTTTGTTAGCGGAGCTGTTCGGCACTTGAAAGCTGCAGCGTGCCGGAGAAACAGAAGCAAACTGGGTCAAATGACTGTGGTTGGGAATTCATGATGTCGTGTTGAAAGGGAAGAGCTGCGTGATGCAAGAAAACCCACCCGGTTTCATCTGCTGTGCCGGGATCGTGTGTGGCGATATTTTAATCAAGCTGATAAATGTAAAGGAATTATCATTTATGATGAAATCAGAGGAAGATGGAGGTGTTCATGGAGTTCAAAGGAGTAAAAAGGATATAAATGTATTAACCAGCAGGTGGCAGTGTTACTACAGGGGCGCAATAGTGTGTGCGTGTGTGTGTGTGTGTGTGTGCGTGTGTGTGTGTGTGTGTGTGTATTTGTGTGTGTGTTAAATGTTGAAGCTTTCCTCCTGTTGTGATTTTTTTCCTCCACAGCCTCACTCGTGCTCACGTCAGTGTGCGACCGACATACTCTAGTGACATTTGAAATGAACACCAGCCGGCCGCAGACCATGCAACATGGACATACAAGTCCGAAGGTCACCCAGTAAGTTCATGTGTGTCTTCTGCATCTCAGACGACAAAAGCTGTTTTCACATCAACATAAAAGAGAAAAAAAACACAGTTTGTGGTGACAGATGATGTACTTTTTAGATTTAGACATGAATTGATTTTCAGCAGCACAAATTTCCTTTTTTCTTAGTTTCAGTCATCTTTATTTGATTCATTTTACTCATCTATTAGACCTCCAACTGGCCAACAGGCGACTTTTGTCCTTGTTAGTCTGGTCACCCTGAAAGCCACCTTCAAGTCTCTTTCATTCCCCCTCTTGCTCTCTTCTTTCCAGCTTTGTAAATGTTTACAGATGAACACTAATAGTCTCCTCTGTATATCCATGACAAGCCAATTAATCAAAAACACTTGGGCTGCCCACTCCGACCAGCAGCTTCCAGCAAGCTGATGAAAAACTAGTGTGTGCAACCCTGAAGGGCTGCAGGTTCGCGTGCGCTCTTTGTGTTTGTGCGTTCATCAATTCCTCCAGCTCGGAAACGCTGCAACAACACGAGAAGGATGCACGGTGAACAAATGTGTTCTCTTTGTCTGCCATGAAGCCATTCATCAAATGATGATGAAATGAAGTAATTATGCATTCTGGGCTCCGTCTCATGTCCAGAGTTTGTTGGACTTCAGCCACTTATCAAATACTTTTAAAACTCTTTTGTCTCAGTCTCACACACACATGCATGCATGCATATACTTCACCTTTCCCCTCTTTTCAGCAAACGGAGAGGCGTGATGATACAAAATCATGACAATTGATTGCAAAGACAGTTTGCTCAGTAAACCCCTCGTTTAAGTTTCCATGCTCTCGTTTGTGTAATATTGTGCAGAACAGTTTATTTGATCATTTGTTTGACAAGAGATTATGAGTGTACACACACTGTGGAAACCTGGAGCCTGCTCCTGTAACTGGCTGCTTATTGGCCAAAATGGTGAGTTTACAATATCTCAGACAACTGATTAATAATTTTGCCTTGCTGAGAATTCAGTGAGCTCTTTTTGCAACATGAGGGGGGGAAAAACATAGAGGCATGGTCACAATTAATGTTTGCTTTCAGATTCAGACAACGAAGCTCAAAATCAAGCATGAAAATCTTCTCATTAATCTGTTTGGGGTGTAGGCTGTGAAGGAGAGGAGAAGGATTGATAGGAAGCAGGGGGGCTACAGGCAAAGTGATTAAAAACCCAGGCTACAGATGTTTCTGGAGCACTTCAAAGCCTGGAGCTCGCCAACGCCAGTGCTGAGCATGATGCATTATTGAGATGGCGCCCGCCTGGCACCTGGCTCTGACATCACACACCACGTCCACCTGGCTCTGTGCGGTCACTGGGGTGACTCTTTGGGTCACGCTTGCACAAATCTGGCTCTCGGTGTGATGAAGGGCATCGGGGGGGATATGGCACTCGTTCTCAGCAAGGACCTCAAAAAGCACCAAAACTGGGGCAGGAGCACTTTGTAGACTCAGCTTCACGGAGGAAAGTGGAGACTCTGGAGGAATGCTTTACTGGATGGGAACATTTCTTGCCTGCATACTTTATTTATTACACAAATAGTTTTATTTTTAATTCAGGCCATGACTGATTTTAACATATGTTGCAGTAGCGATTGTTGATGGATGAATTTGTCTGTTCAGAATTTAAAAAAAATTGATTTTTGTGGTTCTTCCTGCTTAATATTTCAGTTCCCCCATCCCACAACTTTGTTTAGTCAAAACACATTTAGAGGTCACCTAGTGTCTCTGTGTGTGTTTCTGTGGCGTGCCGTCCCCTGACACCTGTACTCTCTCGGGGTGTTAGGAACAGACAGAGGCCAGAGCCACAGTCACAGGTCTCAGACCAGTGGGGTGTGAAATGAATCGGGGAGCAGACACACTCCCCTCCTGCTGCACACACTTCAAATCACTGCAAGGCTGTGTTTGAGGGCTTGGGGGAGAGAGGAGGAGAGAAAACCGAGAAAGGACACAGGAAAGAAGAGGGATGAGAAACTGATAATTGCTTTGTTTCTGTCTCTTGTCGATGAAATAAGAGACACACTTGGCTATTCGTGGAAGTTGAAAACACTTTCTAATTGGGTAATTTTTTTATTTCTGGGCTGCAAGGTTGCAGGTTTAAATTCCAGCTGTGGTATTTCTGTGTGGAGTTAGGATGTCCTTCCCATGCATGTGTGGGTTTCCTCCCACTCACCCAAACCATGTGTGTTAAGTTGAATGGCAACCTGTACCCAGGTGTGACTGTCTTTATGTGTCCCTGTGATGGACTGAGAACCTGTCCAGGGTGTTCCCTGCCGCTTGCCTAGCAAGCTAGAGCTAGGCACCTGCTCCCCACCCACTGATGACAAGCGCTGCAGACGATGAGTGACAGATTTTAAGATTTCAACAATCCTCGAGGTTGAAAATCTGGATCAAGCAAATTGACATCAGGACCAGAAAATAACTCAAAACTTAGATGCAATTAATTTTAAAATCCCCCAAATCAACAATGTTTCTGAATGCAGTTTTATTAACCTAATTATCTTGTGATTTATTTTTGAAAACTATAAGTAGGTTATTTGACTTACGGGTAAATTTAATCAAAATAATCTTTGCTCCTGCAAAAATAAAAATAAAATGTAATGCACACACAAATAATCTCTCACTTTAAATGTTTTAAAGCTTTATGATTTGACCTGATTTCAGTGCAACATCTGTAGGGAAACTGTAATGATATGCTGTAGACACCTGTAATGTGCTCTTTTACATCAGAAGAGATAAAACAAAATCATAATGTTCAATAAAGTATGATTGTAACTAAATGTTTATCATGACTCCACTGTGATCATACTTAAATAATAAAAACTCAAACATTAGATAAAAATGACCATAGTGAGATATAAAATTACATGTTTACCCGATATTATTTTTGCCCCATCTTTATTTAAAACATGCAAAAAAGACCATTTTCCTTTTGTTTTCACTTGAAAATCTATGTTTTTTTTAATCATGGACATTGAAAAATTAACGTGCACAGTGAAGAACCGTTAACCAGTACATTTGTAGTGTCCAATCTTGGCCCTTGGGGGCCACCGTCCAACATTTTTTACAAGTTTCTCTGCTTCAACACCTGATTATAATCAGTGGGTGATAGACAGGCATAACAGTTAATTCAGTCATTCAGGAGCAGGGTTGGACACCAATGCAGCAAACATACCCATAAAATACTTAATTATATTTTCTTGATAAATGTGACTTATTAATCACCATTATTTGTGTTTTATTTTACTAACTGTTAAAGTAGTTAAATAATTTATTTGAATGCCTCACATTTTAATTCAAGTTTTAAATTAAACGTTTTGTTTACTTTGCGTTTGACATTAGAAGTTTATTCTAATTTGATTATCAAAAAAAAATCACATTTAACTGTCTGAACTGCTGCCGCTCAGTGATTGGCTGAAGCAGCTGTCAATCAACCCCCCCCCCCCCCCCGCTGCTCGGCATCACCTCCCACAGACGCACAGCGGCAGCTCAGCTTTTAACCCACGATGATATTCAAGGCACTTGCGACTCGTCCGCGACGGTAGGAGAGAAGAGGAAGAAAAGGGAGACAACCTCACCTCCTCAAACAACGAGTGAGGTAGAGGAGCAGAGCCAGAGAGGAAGAGGAGAGACAGTGGAGTTATACCAGAGACACGACGGCGGCTTGGAGCTCCACAGAGGAGTGTCTGATCGCGTGCGCCTTCACATCAAAAGTGTGTAATTTTACACAGATTCGACATGTCATCGTCCGGTAAAGACAACAGCGCTGCCCAGCACGCCAATTACGTGGGACCTTACCGCTTGGAGAAGACGCTGGGGAAAGGACAGACAGGTTAGTTGGGACAACACCTTCACATTTTCTTTTTCTGATTTGTAATAATTCTGCTTATTGGACAATTTGTGCTCGAAGCGCTCCGCCGCAAGTTGGAATTCGGCCGCAGGTGATCAGTAGCTGAGTGTTAACACCTGTCCAGCCTCGTGTGGCATCTGATGGGTGTTTCAGCGCTGATCTGACATAATCATTGTTCACGCGCTGGGACGCAGAGCAGAGGGGATTTATTATGCGCGGCTTTTCTAGGCTGTGCGCTCACGTTGGACCGAATGTGTGCGTTGACGCGCACAGAAGCGCGGAAAGCGTCCGAACCCAGACATCATGACAGCGCTGCTGCCTGTGGGCAACGCCAAATGAACTTTTTGTGTTTCGGGACAGCTCCCGAGCCTGCTTGCTTGTTTGTGCGTGCGTGCGTGCGCGCGCGTGCTGTGATTGGAGCGAGTTAATCCCGATTTGCCTGATGCATTGATCTATTCTTAGTCCGCAGGCATGAGGAGGAGAGAGGCAGGCGCTTCTCCTCCAGGCACTGACTGCAATTTGTGGGTTTCCTCCAGCACAGAGGAGAACATCCCACCTTGACGCGTAATGAGCTGCTTGCAGAGCTGGGAAATAAGATTTAATCTATGTTAATACATCCCGGGGGAGATGTTGCTGCAGCTTCCTGAATAAGGAGCACATGTTTTATGTCAGCCTGACAGGAGTGACTGTGCATTTTCCCCAAAGTCGCACGCACAACACTTATGATTAAATGGCAAAGCCCTGGACATAAGAACTGGTTTAGGAAATGTCTTTATGAACCTCATGAAACGCAGAAATGACAGATCTGATGCGTTCAAAGCTAATCATGCCCTCAAAAGAGGGGAGAGTTTTACTTTATCAGTGGATAGATTTTCCTCCCGTCTGCTGTCTAATGGCTACAATAGGCGTTACTTTCCTCCACCCAGTCCAGCTGGTCATGCTGAGCAGCCATGTGTGTAAATGTTTTAGTGCACTCTTAAGTATGCTTTCCTGCAAATATTCTCCTGGTCACTAGTTTACCTGGGCAGTGCTAACTGTTCGTTAACGGCTGCTGTGTGTGATGGTGTTCACCACCCAACTGTACGAAGTTTTCCATCTTTAACACATCCACAGTCGGCACATATTTAGTTGTTTTCTAATTGTGAGGTGTGATTTAACAATAAAAGTTCCTGGCTGTGTTCCAGTTGGCACCCTCCAGTGCCTCCTGTTTGGGCGTTTGTGTTTACAGGAGGATCTCTCTCTCTCTCTCAGAACCAGACTCGGCTTTCTTTCAGATGGCTCGCTGAAGTCTCTCTAATGGGTGTTTGTGGTAACGTGGAGCTGGTATGGCCTGCTTGGTACAGACGTTTAATTATGTGGTGTCACTGAGATCATCTTGGGCTGTCTTTCTGCTTGTGGGAGTGTTGGAGGCGATTTTGATGCTTTTATTTTCTCTCGCTCACCTCGGATGTCAGAACCGTGATGGTGCACCAACGGATGCTACAGAATCATGTTAATCTGATAACTCTGACTCACAATGTAGATAATTTTTGTTGCGTGTGTTCCTCTGGATTCTGCGTCGCTCGTACATGCCAACCATTCAGATTAATGACTCCGTGTAATATCCCCTTCGCCTGTTAACCATTTGTTAATCTCTCAGATCTTTTTCCCAGGCTCCACAAACGGAGTTGGCCTAGCAACTGAGTGTGCCCAATGGGCCGAGCTCGATCATGTCCAGCAGACCAAATCCCCTGTGAGGTTTCCCAGGCTGGGATTGGCTTGTGTTAATAGAGGGGGAAAAAGGCAGAAGACTTCTGTGGAGTTGTCCAGTTTTGTGTTCATTAAGTGATTAGGCCGTCTCTTGTCGGACACGCGGGGCTATGGTGGGGCTTTCTGATCTAGTCGATGCATCTGAAATCCACATCTCTCTCTTTCTCACTCTCGCTCATTCACAAGGTTTGGATTGTCCTGTCTTGGTTGTTCCATGCCTCTGCACAACCTCACCAGCATTGAACAGGTGAAGCACTGATGCAAGGATTGGACTCTGCTTGTCAAAACAAATTGAGAGAGTATATGTACAGCACACTCCACCGTTTCTCTTTGGTTGCTGCAGAATGATTGCACGACTCCTTTGTCAGGTGTGCATTGGTGCTGAAAAGGTCTATAGATATGAACTGTCTGCTTGGCTGGCTACTGATTGGTCCTGGAGCTACACAAGTTGGAGGCAATTTCAAAATAAAACGCCCAGCTTTAGTGGCAGGACCTCAACATATCTATATGTGGTGCAGCAATCTGCCATTACATTATGACCACCAATGGGGGGACAAGAGCAATGCTGCTTTTTACTGTGATTATCTTCCAAGAACAGCTTATTTACCCTTTATGTGATCCTCTAAGCATTTTTTCAGAAGTGTTTATTTTTTTCTTTGTCAATAAAGTTGCAATGGCAAATCAGCAAAACAAGCTAGCTTCTAAACACAAACACAGTCAGGGAACACTCAACCCTCTTGTTGAGCTAGACAACCGGATGGTCCAATCGTTGGTTTTGGACCGAGCCACGTTTTTGGCTGAGGTTTTTAGACAAATGTGAGAGAACTACTTTTGTGATTTATTATTATTTTTTTATCTCCACAAAATATTTACAGGTATACTATGTTAGAATGTCGTTATAAGACATGAAGGATGTTTTAAACTAGCCTGTTTTGCAGTTTGTTGCCATGTGGTTTGACAGAATAACTTGAAATGTTAATCTGATCACAAAATAGTTTTTTTATGACCCATGTTCACTTTTCTGTCCCTAACTTTAGTTACAGATTTTGAATGAAAACCTTCCTAAATAAGGCGGCATAGTGGCCCAGTTGGTTATGCCGTCTTGAAGCAAGAAGGTTGCTGGTTTCAATACCAACTGCAACTTTTCTGTATGAAGTTTGAATGGTGAATGGCTTCTATTTGAATACCTTCTAGAGTTCTACAACCCCCACAACACATCAGTCTTTCACCAATGTACACACACTCAGACGCTGGTGGTGATGAGCCACAACTGCCCTGGGGCGTGACAGAAGTGAGGCTGCCAAACACACGTGCTACCAGTCACCACCAGCAGGCAAGGATGCTGAAGTGTCTTGCCCAACGACTGCGACAGACTGAGCAGGGCGTAATCCCGCAACCCTCCAGTTACGAGGAAGGCACTTGGCAACTGCCACCGTCATTCTCAATCAGAATTGGCATGTTCTCTTTTGCTTGCCTGGGTTTCTTCTGGGTTGTAATGTCCTCATGCAATTATGCATCAATAATGTCTTTTTTTAATGACTGAACACTTTTAGCTTTTGCCAGAATATATAATATTCTGCAGAAGATGAGATATTTTTAGTGGGGAAATGTGTCCGTTACCACAGCTCAGAACAGATGTCAAGAGTACAAACGTGACCAAGAATGAAAATTAAATAATAAAAAGACGAGACACAATGTACAACAACCAGAGCACTTCAGTATAGTTGTGAAAGCTAAATTAAACTAGAATCTCGTGGCTGATGGCTTCATGCATTATTTTCCATTTATTTTTAGGTTAATAAATATGGTCAGAATGCAGAATTAAGAAAAATAAAAATGGAAAAGCGGATTTTGGCAAAAAACAAAAACAAAAAAACAAACAAAAAGGAAATGTATTTTATTGGGCCCTGCAAAAATAGTTTACAGAAAGAAATTGGCTCCATTTTATTTTGTCTGTTCTATCTCAACCTCCCAAGGTGTCACAACAGTACAGTAGAAATGACTGAAGCAACCATTAAAATCTACGACTTGAATGTTTCCTTCACAGCAGGATTTGCATTAACTCCCTTCTTGTTTTACAGAATCCTGAAGCTTTGTTTGACTAATCTGAATATGGTGGATTTGCCTTTTTGCCAGTGCAGTGGCTTAAGACTGGCTGAATCACTGCTCTGTTCCCTAATGTGTGGAAAACCCCGTCTTGCTTTGCATTAACTTTGTTCCTTTGGGCTGTTTATTAGTGGAATAGAGGCCTATTGTCTGGAAAACATTGCTTTGTAATCCATGTTTTTTTCTAGACTCGTATGTTGACAGACTTAGGCCTAGTCCACACGTAGCTGTTTTTTTTTATAAACGAATATCCGCCCCTCCAAAAACTTGCATCCACACCACCTCGTTTAAAAAAAAAACTGTCCACACGTACCCAGATAAATACGTTGTTAAGGACATGCCAGACCTGTAGGCGGCAGTACTTCCCCCGTTCTTATCCTCGTCCTTCGTCTGTGGTCTTCCGCAAGGAGCAGTAATTCCGCTTGCAAAAACAAACAAGCAAAAAGCACTTGGACAATTGATAAAGCGAGCGCAGCTCTGAGGGCATCCATGCTGTCAGCTAGTGTAAACACAGGTCGCACACGTGATGTCAGCATTTTTTTGTCGCGGAAAGTGACGTTGCGGACCTTAAAACTCCAGTTTTGTCTGTCCACACACAGACACCCAAAACGGAGAAAACGCAGATCTTCACTTTGGCCGGAGTTTTTAAAAAGATCCGTTTTCGTGTGAAAAAACTCCATTTTCGTGTGGATGACAGGCCAAAACGTAGAAAAATATCTACGTTTTGGCAGATCCCCGACTACGTGTGGACAGGGCCTAAGAGTTGGATGGCATGCGGGGCTTTTGATTCTTTGCTGGACATTTAAAGAGTGAAACTGTGCTTCAGGGACTTTCATGTTGACTGTTGATCTGACAAAAAGCTGTCTGTGATGTTGTCTTGGCTTTTTGTGCTCTCTTAAGCACTCTGTGGTGGTTTATCCTTCAAGGAGATCTTGTTTGGGGTTCACTACTACAAGGCATTTAAGCCCGCCCTATCCTGCTGTTCTGGTTGTCTTGGTGTCAGTAGGGCTGGCCAGAACCAAACTCATGGTGGATTTCACTGTTTGTGCATCATTTGTCTTTCTCTCTGCTCATTTGCACATGCAGACGGGTGCAAACATTTATCTCAGCAGTCTTGATGTTTGTTA